TGAATGAGTCACTGTGGAAACCCAAACTTCTCCTACAGCTCTCTGCAACCCTTGGGTCAGGAGACACTGCATGAAGCAACTCTACCAAGGCCTTCAGTTTGACACGCAGAGATATGTGGAGTCTCAGCAGAGCAGAGGCCTAGACACGTGCAGAGACCTGTGGGCCTTAGATACTCTGGCTTTCTGGGTTTCCCAGAAAACATGGCCACAACTCCAGCAAAACAGAAGGTTACACCTCTGTGCATACCCACAGGAAAGAGGTGGAATCTAGAGGGGTGAGCCCCACTTTCACAGCACCCCACAGGATAAGACCCACTGGATTAAAATTCCAGGCAGTCACCGGTAGCAGCACTGCACCTCCCAGAGGTGCGGCTCCAAGGCAGAGGAGTGGGCTGCCGCCTTTGCTGCTGTGGCAACTTAGCCATTCCAGCTTTTAGGCTTTGATGAGCTGAGTGGGGTGGAAAGGATCCCTCATGACAGCACAGCTGCTCTACAAAAACATGGCCAGACTGTCTGGTAAAGGTTTTCAGTCTCATTCCTCCTCACCGGACAGTGTATGTCCCAACTAGGATCTCCAGAAATAAGCACTGGTGCTCTCCAGCTGAAGGAGTTCTTAAAACTCCCTGGAACAAAGCTCCCACATGGTAGATAAGTTACCTTCTTTGCTGTTTGGGTGACCAGGCTGTTCTAGCCTCTGGCTTGGAAGATTTCCAAGTCAACCAGAGGTGGAAGTGGTACCCTAACATGACAAAGCTGCCCTACAAAATGTGACCAGACTGCTTTTTTAAGGGGGTCCCAAATCTTGCTTCTCCTCACTGGATGAGACCTCCCATCAGGAGTCTCCAGTTACCTTTTACAAGTGCTTTTGGTCTGGCACTTGTTCTATACATTTCTAGGATAGAGTTCCCAGAGAAAGGGGCAGGTTGCTATTTTTTCTGTTTTACAGCCTTCACTGGTGATATCTGCAGGTACTGGAAAATGTGAAGTGACTAGAAACAACAGTGGACACCCAGCATATTGCAACAGTCCTATGGGAAAGTAGCCAAACTATTCTAATCACCCCATATGTATCTCTTATATTCTCACTAGGTAGGTCCTCCAGGCCTGAGCCTCTAGCCAACAAACGCAGGTGCTACTGAGCTATTAGCAACTTAGCAATTCCCTAGAAAGAGCCTCCAGGGGCAACTAATAAAAGCCTCTCTGCCACTGCCTCTGTAATGGAACTGTCCTTGCTACCCTCCAACTAGTGAAAAAGCCAAAACTCAAATTGCCTTATCCACACTTCCAACAAGCTACATGCAGTGAACGCAAAGAAAGGCCAGTCTACCTCCAATGGGTCCCACTCACACTTCACTGCTCATCACCAGACAGAAACAACCCCTTGATTGGCCTAAAACACAGGCCATTTATCCTGGACTTACTGCTGTAAGTGATTGTTGAGCTACGGCTCTCTGAGGTGTAACTCCCAGAATACAAGAAAGTGGTGAGGAAGCAAGCCAGGTGATGTGGAGCAGAGGATTTGGTGTGAGTATCTGCAGAGGACCATGGCCAGACATGGCCATCCTTCTAAGCTCAACTTATTCCCGTAACAAATTTTAGCCAGAGAAAAACTGTTGGACCTGATCTCTGAAGGATGGTCTTGCACATCGGAAGAGGACAGTCCAAGCTGAGCACTTCTTGGAATGATAGCTTCTCCCGGGCACAGCCTGGCCACACCTGCTTACAGGGCAGTTTCAATAGCCCTAAGGGCCCATACCATACATTCTGCACTGGTGGACCTTGCCTAATGAATAGCTCCAGCAAAGTGGGCCCTATGGCTGTGCACCAGCATGCATGTGCCCCCCTCTACTGAAGCTTCCCCCGAATCCATGGCAAGCAACTCCCACATCACTCTGATGGCACATGTCTCCATGGGCATGTTTTGCTTTACTTGCCCACCAGCCCATGGGAATGCAGTATGACTCCCAACCCCAAGCAACTGCAATTGCAAATGGAGGCTTGGCTGGCACAAAGCCAGCAAGCCCTGCCCTTCCCTTATGCTGACACTGTGCAGAGAACAGGGAGGGATGCTTCCACACACTGAGCAGGACACACAGAAGGCATGAAACCTGTGCTGGCCAAAACTTTGTCTCAAGCCAATACCACTAGTACAACAGCACCCAGAGTCTCCAGCAGGGGACCCCAACTTCCACCCAGATGCTCTGGCTCTAACAATCACATGAATGTCCACAGATAGGCCAAAACCCCACATCCATTAGCACTCTGCTGCAGCTGCATCACCTCAGTCCCCCAAGCATAGTGGACTTCAAAATCAAGAAACCAGAGAGTTGGCCGGGCGCGGTGGCGCAAGCCTGTAATCCCAGCACTTTGGGAGGCCGAGGTGGGTGGATCACGAGGTCAAGAGATCGAGACCATCCTGGTCAACATGGTGAAACCCCATCTCTACTAAAAATACAAAAAATTAGCTGGGCATGCTGGCGCGTGCCTGTAATCCCAGCTACTCAGGAGGCTGAGGCAGGAGAATTGCCTGAGCCCAGGAGGCGGAGGTTTCGGTGAGCCGAGATCGCGCCATTGCACTCCAGCCTGGGTAACAAGAGCGAAACTCTGTCTCAAAAAAAAAAAAAAAAAAGAAACCAGAGAGTTAACTCAGGACTCAATACAAGTGTCCTAGAGTTAGAGCATGCAGCCTAGAAGTTGTGAATTGAGCATTGGCCCCTTAAAATTTCCCAGGAATAAACCGTATCTGCTGAATTTGCCTTATATCTCAATTAAACCCTTAAGGCCACCAAATAAAAGAAAAAAAAATTCCATCCAAAGTTCAGCAACCTCAAAGCTTAAATGTAGATAAACCCTGCAAACATGAGACAGAATCAGTGCAACAATGATGAGAACTCAAAAAGCAGAGTGGCTTCTTTTTTCCAAATGACCAAATCACCTCTCAGCAAAGTTTTAGAACTGGAGTAAGGCAGAGATAGCTAAAGTAACAGAAGTTGAATTCAGAATAAGGATAGGAAAAAAGTTCATTGAGCTACAAAAGTTGTAACCCAACAGAAGGAAGTTAAAAATTACGATAAAACATTCTAGGAACTGACAGAAAAAGAAAACAATACATATAGAGAAGAACATAAACAGCCTCATAGAGCTAAAAATCATACTACAGAAATTCCATGAAGCAATCAAGCCTTAGTAGCAGAATATGCCAAGCAGAGGAGATAATCCCAGAGCCTGACAACTGGCTTTTTCAAATAAAGCAGGCAAGAAAAGTGAAAACAAAAAAATCAAGAGGAATAAGCAAAACCTCCAAGAAATGTGAGATCATCTAAACAGACCCAATCTATAACTGAATGGTGTACCTGAAAGACAGAGAGACTGAAAACAACCTCAAAGACATGTTTTAGGATATCAACCAAGATCAGGTCCCCAAGCTAGCTAGAGAGGCTAACATTCACATTTGGGAAATACGGAAAACCCCAGTTGGACACTCCTCAAGAATGTCATCCCCAAGACAGATAAACATGAGATTCTCCAAGGCTGAAATGAAAGAAAATTGAGTTAAAGGTAGCTAAAGAAAAAGGCCAGGTAACCTCCAAAGGGTAGCTCATCAGACTAACAATTAACCTTTCAGCAGAAACCCAAAAAACCAAAAGAGATTAGAGGCCAATATTCAACATACTTTAAAAAAAGTTCTAACCAAACATTTTATATCTGAACAAATTAAGCTTCAGAAGTAAAAGAGATAAGACCCTATTCAGATAACACTGAGGAAATTTGTTACCACCAGGCCTGCCTTACAAGAAGTGCTGAAGACAGCACTAAATAGGAAAGACAGAGGCAAACAAATTAAAGTACATAAACCAGTGACATTATAAAGCAACCACAAAACAAAACCATTTGTTTTACACAATAAACAAGTCTGAAAAATAACTAAGATAATGATGACAGAATCAAGTACACACATATTGACACTAACTTTAAATGTAAATTAGCTAAATGCCCCAAATTGAAGACAAAGTGGCAAGGTGCATAAAGGATCAAGACCCACTGGTATTATTGTCTTCAAGTCTCGTATGTCACACAAGCTCAAAATAAAAAAAAAAAAAATGGAGAAAAACCTACCAAGCAAATAAAAAGACAGAAAAAAGCAAGAGTTTCAATCCTTGTTTTTGGCAAAACAGATTTTAGATCAACCAAGATTATAAAAAGATAAAGAAAGGCGTTACATAAGAGTAACTGGACAACATGCTACATATATATATATACCCACACAAAAGCATCCAGATTAATAAAGCAAGTTCTTAGAGACAAACTTTTACACAACAGTGAGGGACTTTAATACTTCATTGACAATACTAGATAGATCACTGAGACACAAAATTAACAAAGATATTAAGAACTTAAATTCAGCACTGTGTCAAATGGACTTGATAGACATCTACAGAACACTCTAACCAAAAATAAACAAATATACATTCTTTTTATCACCACATGACACATACTATAAAATCAATCACATAATCAGGAATAAAAATCTCCTCAGCAAATGCAAAATAACTGATTTCATAGCCGTCTCAGACCATAGCAGTCATATTAGAAATCAAGACTAAGAAAATTCACTCAACAACATATAATTACATGTAAACTGAACACTCCTAATAAGTCAGAAAGAAAGAAGTTTTTAAAATTAATGATAACAAAGATACATTACAACATAGTAAAATCTTTAGGAAACAGCTAAGGCAGTGTTAAGACAATCATTTATAGTGTTAAGACAATAATTTATAGTGCTAAATGCTCACACATTAAAAAGAGATTAACTTGTAACATTAACAGCCTAACATTACAAGTAAAAGAACTAGAGAAGAAAGAGCAAATAAATCTCAAAGCTGGTAGAATACAATAAATAACAAAATTTAGAGCTGAATTGAAAAAGACTAAAAAGCTATTTAAAAAATCAATAAATCTGGGAGCTATTATTATTTTTAAAAATTAGTAAAGCCTGTGGAACTCTTATAAGGTTTTCCTCTTGCTTAAATTTTTCTGTGTATAATAAAATCTATAATGTAAGTAGAAGTACTGTACCTCTCTATTTGTAAGGTTCATAAATAATAAAAGAATTATTGTATACTCTAAGTCTTTTGTTAAATATCCTTTGATAGTGATTCCACTTACATCATATTTGTTCTGATATATTAAAAAAAAAATTGAAGACCTGCTTAAGGCTTTTTTACATTTTTAATACCTGTAGTTTCTCTTCATTATTCATTCTCTTATGTTTAGTAAGGGCTGAGAAACACTTAAAGACTTTGCCACATTCCTCACATTTTAAGGTTGCCTTCCAGTATATATTCTCCTGTGGTTAAAAGGGTTGAGAAGTGGGAAAAGACTGTGCCACATTCTTCACACGTGCATAGTTTACTCCAGTATGAGTTCTCTTATGTCTAGTAAAACCTGAGGACCACCTATAAGCTTTGCCACAGTCATCACATTTGTAGGGTTTCTCTCCAGTATGAACTCTCTTATGGTGGGAAAGGTCTGAGGGATACATAAAGCCTTTGCCACAGTCTTCACATTTATAGGGTTCCTCTCCAGCATGAATTCTCTTATGTTTTATAAATTCTGAGAACCACCTACAGACTTTGCCACATTCGTCACATTTGTATGGTCTCTCTAAAGTATGCATTATCTTATGTTTAGTAAGGTCTGGGAAGCTTTTAAAGGCTCTGCAACATTCTTCACAATAGTAGGGTTTCTCTCCAGTATGAATTCTTTTGTGTTTTGTAAGAGCCGAAGAGTGCGTAAACGCTCTGCCACATTCTTCACATCTGCAGAGTTTCTCTCCAGTATGAATTTTCTTGTGTTTAATAAGGTTTGGGGAGTAGGTAAAGGTTTTGCCACATTCTTCACATTTGTGGGGTTTCTCTCTAGTATGAATTCTCTTGTGTCTTGTAAGAGCTGAAGAGTGGGTAAACGCTCTGCCACATTCTTCACATCTGTAGAGTTTCTCTCTAGTATGAATCAGTTTGTGTGTAGCAAGGATTGAGGAGCGAGTAAAGGCTTTGCCACATTGTTCACATTTGTAGGGTTTCTCTCCAGTATGAATTCTCTGATGTCTATTAAGTTTTGAGGAGCGTTTATAGGCTCTGCCACATTCTTCACATTTGTAGCGTTTCCCTCTAGTATGAGCTCTCTCATGTCTAATAAAGCATGACAATGACCTACAGGTTTTGCCACATTTTTCACAACTGTAGGGTTTCTCTCTGCTACAAATTTTCTTATCTTTAGTAAGAATTGAGTGACACTGAGAAGCTTTGCCACATTTATTGCATTGGCATGTTTTGCTATGGATGGGTGACAAACACTGCTGAAGGTAATTATAACTACTTTTCTGCCCCTTGCAATTATTCACATCTTGCCAGACTTTCTTTAAGCATAAATTATCAAGGTCACAGCTTTCATATTTTCTTGGTATTACGTTTTTAGATGAATCTTTTATGTTCTGCCTTGGCAATATCTCTGCAGGGAAAAAAAACAAGGGTCCAGCTAAGAAAACAGTAACAAATTATCTCACTTATTTGACTAAGGTAAATATACTTTACAAACCTAAAATTATACTAAGCACATTGACACAGTGAGGCAATAAAATACCACACACTCTGATTTCTTTATAGACATATAAACTTAACAAAAATATACTAACCAAAATGCCTTTTTTAGAAATATGAAAACTAGTTGAGTATCTGCAGCACTGCAAGTAAGCAAAATGCCAACAACAATACAGAAGTGGAAGAAAAGTATTTTATATTTACCAACCACACCCATTCTTCATCCCCAATACAACTCCCAACTCCTGGCTTCTCCTTCCAAAAATAAAGAAAATAGTGTCACATGTGTCCATGCTTCTGGCTTTCTGTGGCCTTGCCAAAGACTAATTTTGAGGTTCCATGACAGTGCTGAAAGGAATGGTGGTATACTTTCAATGACAGGTTGGGTCAGCCGAGGTAAATGAGTGTTAAAAGAGAAAAGAGACTTCAGTACCATAGTCAGACAATGAGCATAGAAAGTGATTATAGGCTCTCAATTAGAAACATGGGAATCTTCTTTAACTGAACAACAAACACAAAAGCCCAGAGAAGACACATCCACAGAACAGGTTTGAGGGATTTCGAAAATCTCTAGCCTAAAAAATTGGTGCCATATTACCCAAGGTCAAAACCAAGTAATAAATATTTTGACATGTGGCTTTTTTTGTACAAATCACAACCAAAGATTACAACATAAACAAAACATCAGAACTATATGGCTAAATCAAAGAAATAAAGTGAGTATCCAGAAATCAATACAAGGAAAATAAAGATATAGATATTACCTGAAACAATGTGAATTCAGCCAGATCTATTTTTTAAAAATAAATTTAGAATTGTCATTTCAATGACGTTCGCTGAGTGAAATGGGAACATAGAAAACAAAATGAAATAACAAAAATAAAACTATTAACAAAAAAATAAGAAACAAAAAAATAAAAATTGTGAAGCAGAAGTACAAAATAAGACTGACATGCACTTCAACATTTAAAAAAAATATATATATATAACAAAAACAAGAAGCTCAGCAAATTTCAACTAAGATTAACACAGAGATCCCTAAAAAGACAAAATGTAACATTGTATTGAAAGTCAAAGACAAGAAGAGAATATAGAATGCAGGAAGAGAAGAGAAAGGTGTCATTTATATCATGCTCTTGCCAGATTACCAGCAGATGTATAAACAAATTTTTCAGGCAAGAACAAAGCTGGATAATATAATATACAACCTAAAATTCCAAACAAGAATACTATGTCCAGCAAAAGTATTCTTTAAAATGAAGAAAAATAGACTCTCCAAGATAATCAAAATGTAGATAAGTGTGTCAACAGAACTAATCTACAAGAAATGCATAAGGAAGTCTCTCTCATTGAAAATAAGATATGCTAAAGAACATCAAATCATGTAAAAATACATAACTCTGGAAAACATACGTATATACACAACTATGAAAATGTGTAGTAGTATTATCAAGGTTCAAAAAACACTTTGAATTATACTCTAACATTTAAAAGATATGTTTCAGCTAGTCCTTGATTTGTTAAACAGGAGAAAAATTAGAAAGATAAAAGCATAAAAATAATTAAAATTTTGTTAATGTATATGCAATAAAGTATATTATTAGTGATGTTGATAACAAAGCTGAAAGCAGATGTAATGAGTATAAATTTTTGTGTGCAACAGACGATAAATTGTTACCAGTTTAAAATCAATGGTAACTTTAAGATATTTTCTGTAATCTCTATCTTTACCACATATAAAATACCAATGAAGAGGAACAAAAAGTTAAGTTGGAGCCAAGGCATCCCACTATCAACTAGTTATTACACAAAGAAAGAAAGAGACAAAATATCTAAAACTGCCAAATAAAACAAAAGAATGGTAATAGTACGTTTTTTCAGAAAAGAATTTAAATATTCATGTACTAAGCTTACTAATCAAAACACATATACTGAATAAAAGAATTTAAAAAAAATTTTTTTTAAAAAACACTATCTAACTATACCATGTCTCCAAGAGACTCACTTCAGATCCAATTTAAAAAATAGAATGAAAATGGCAGGATAGAAAAAACATTCCATATAAGTCTTAACCAAATGAGATGAGATACAATTATATTAAATCAAAAACTGTCATATTTCATATAAATTATATCAGAATTCACAAGAGACAAAGTAGGATATTAAGTTATAGGACGCTTCATTCATTGAGAACCTATAAATACATCTGACACTAGTTTTTCCAAACACATAAAGCAAACATTGACAGAACTGGAACAACAAATAGGCACCAATATAATAATGGTAGATACTTCAATAATCCACTTTCAATAATGAATAATTAAGCAAGAAAAAATATGAATAAGGGAACAAAATCTTGAATGCACTATAAAGCAATTACATTTAACAAACGTATTCAGAGAGCAGAATACACATACTTTTTAATAACTCATGAAATATTTTCTAGATAGACCATCTGTGACACCACAAAACAAGTCTTAACAAATATTTAAAATTAAAATTTTAGACTATTTTTATAACCTGAATGAAATGAAGCTAGAAATCAGGGACAGGAGGAAAACTAAAAAACTTACAAACTATGAAAATTAAAAAACACATTCTTGAGTATGCTCTTGTTCAAGGGTTGGAAGACATGATATTGTGAAGATTTCCATATTGCCCAAAGTGACCCAGACGTTCAACATAACCCTTTTTAATTCCCAATTTTATTTTTCTGCAAATAGAAAAACAAACAAACAAAAAAAAAACCACACCCACAAAATTATATGAAATTTCAAGGGACCATGAAAAGCTTGACAATCTTAAAAAAAAAAAAGAAAAGAAAGAAAGAAAAATATCAGAGGCATTATGCTTAATAATTTCCAGACACAAAACAAAGCTAAAATAAACAAAGCACATTAGTACTGGTATAAAGGCAGAACACCAAAGGCATGAAATAGAATGAAGCACAGATTAAAAACTCTTGCATAATGGTCAAATGAGTTACTTGCACACAATTTATTGATGCATTAGCCACAAAAGTCAATAGGTGAAAGTAATTTAAACTCCTTATACCAAATAAATGAATAAATATAATTTGAAATATAAAGACTACAAAATATGACTCAGCTTTTATAAAGCAGGAAATTTTATATTATCTATCATAAAGACAAATCTGGAAGACATTATGTTAAATTTAATAAGCTGGTCACACACACAAAAATACTGTAGGAATATACTTACATGAAATATCTAAAGTAGTTATTCACGTAAAAAGAGAAAACAGAATGACATTTGTAAAGAGCCAGTCAATGGGAAAAATAAGCAGTGGATTCATGTGTATTGTATATTTCTTTTTTTTTTTTTTTGAGACGGAGTTTCGCTCTTGTTACCCAGGCTGGAGTGCAATGGCGCGATCTTCGCTCACCGCAACCTCCGCCTCCTGGGTTCAGGCAATTCTCCTGTCTCAGCCTCAGCCTCCTGAGTAGCTGGGATTACAGGCACGCGCCACCATGCCCAGCTAATTTTTTGTATTTTTAGTAGAGACGGGGTTTCACCATGTTGACTAGGGTGGTCTCGATCTCTTGACCTCGTGATCCACCCGCCTCGGCCTCCCAAAGTGCTGGGATTACAGGCTTGAGCCACCGCGCCTGGCCCGCATATTTCTTTTACATAAATAAAAATGTTCTAGTGATGTGCTGCTAACAATATATTTAACATAACAAAATTATAAAAAATGTTCAAGATTATAAATTTTGTTATGTATTTTTTACAATTAAAAATAAAACAACCATTGACCACCAACCAAAAAAAAAAAAAAAGCAAGTATATAAGTCATAAAATGGGGCATATTTATACAGGCAAACAAACACAAAAATAACTATATTGGCAATAGACATACGGCTGATTCATATCTGACTTCTGTCCAAGCATTGTCTTAATTTGTACAGAGCTGAATACTGGCATGTAAAATTTAATACAGAAATAAAAATGAAAACACAATTAATGTGACATAGCCTGCTCTAAAATGAGACACAGGAATGTGAAATTGGCAGAACAAAATCTAACAAAAAAAATTAACAAAAAAATTGAATAAACATAATTACTACTAAAAAATTATTATTCTAAATAGCTACAGTTTTCAACTATGACTGCACATTCATAAAGAGCACATATTTTGGTGGCTTTTCTTATTTCAACTTTAGGTTCAGAGGCTCCATGTGTAGGTATGATACATGGCTGTATTATGTACCTCTAAACTTTGGGGTACTCCTACCACTCAGGTAGTGAGCACAGTACCCAATAGGTTGCTTTTTGGTCCTTGTCTCCTTCTCTTCGTTCCTCCTCTAGTGGTCCCTAGTGTCTACTGTTTTCTTCTTTATATTTACATATGCCCAGTATTTAGCTCTCACTAATAAGAAGAATATGCATAATTTGGTTTTCTGTTTCTGCATTAATTTACTTAAGATAATGGCCTCCATCTGCATCAACATTGCTACAAAGAACATAATTTTGTCCTGTTTTTATGGCTATGTAGTATTTCATAGATACGTGGTATCTATGTGTATAGATACCATATTTTCTTTATCCAGTCCACCACTATTGGGCACCTATGTTGATTCCATGTCCTTGCTATTGAAGCCCATGAAGTTTGAATCATTAGTGTACAATTAAAGCAATACCATTTCATTGAAAATGCATTAATATCATTCATAAATACTTTTATGAGAAAATTGGAAGAAACAAGCAGTTAAATAGTACTGAATTATCTTCTGTATTATATCATCATTATTTTGCTGCTATTTTTATACAAAATGTAAAGGTTATAATGCAACCTTTAGAAGCAAAGCAAACTAGTACATTTCTAAATAATATGAACAACATAAATATTAAACAATAAGGTATAAAACACTAACATAAAATGAACAATTA